TAATAAAAATATCATAACATGTGTTATGAAAATAGGATTGTAATGAAATTTCAATGGCGTGCCATGAAATTGTCGTCAAATTTAATAACATTCTTCTTAAATTTAGAATGTCATTAAATTTATGACACCTTTATTAAAATTAATGTTGACTACTCGGTTGACTACATAATAAAATTTTAAACATTTTTAACAGTGTTCCCACACAAAGTTCCAGAAAGGTGGTTTTTGAACACAAAATTAATATATTTTCAGTTTGGTCTCCCCTTAGCTTGCTTTGATAGTTATCACGCATCTGCTAACCGGCGTTCTTCGCGGTTTTATTTATGGTTTCCGCATAGGACAAATATCAAAAATCAGAAACCTGTACCCTAGGGCGCATGGCGAGTCCGTCACGACACTTAAGCCCCCGACGGTGGGATAGGGGGTAGACTACCTTTTTTTTTTTTTTTTTTTTTTCTGACACACCAAAATGCTTACGAACTAAATGCAACGGTACATACAATTTTAGTCTTTTGCTTTGCTCGGTTTTTTTCTATTTCGAAGAAATTGTTTCAAGAGACACAGAGAGGGCAGTCTGCTGTGCTAGAAGGCGTTGGCTGATCGGCGCCGCGCCCGGTTCCCGGGGCGCTCTGCGGACTCCAGCGCTCGCCGTTCAAATCTGGCTAGACTTTCGACGCAACTTTTGGTACCGCGGCCATCGGTAGACCTTCCCCTACAATTCTAGACCAAAGCGGGGTCTACGCGATAAATATTGAGGGGGCTAGATGTCTCAACGTGCGGCAAGGTGGCAGCGACGGAGAAGAGAGCTTCCTGTCCCCTCTCTGTAGTCTCTTGATTGTTAAGCGATTGTTTGCAAAGGCTAGGAAGGTTCGTGCAAACAATAGGTTTGCATTACGAACTATTTCTTTGTGTTTGGTCGTGAGCTTACGAGCAATTAGTTCGTAATACAACACTTCAAAATTCTTCGTAAGTTACGAAGGTTTTGCTTTGCATTGCGAACCTATTGTTGGTAGGCAATTTACAGCGCAGTTTAAGGGGGCAGACATGTGAAATGTAAAGGTGTGCGAGAATCGTCACTTTGGAAAAACTACATTCCGCATCGATTTATTAAGGTGTATTTAGAGCATCTGGACGCTAATTTTGCCGTTGGCGCCAGTATGTACACTCTCCAGGAACATGCCGATCTTCGCCTTGCACTGGAACGGTGCAGTCGCTCTCGGTGTGCACAATTGTAACGCAACGGACGGGTCTGCGACGGTTAAAAAAATTGAGTTACTCTTAAAAGATGCTGCTAGTGGTTGACCTGGGAGTACTCAAAAAGAATCACAATGGACAAAAAAAAAATTTTAGTAGATGATACTTGCAGTATCACTGCTTGTACAACAGCTAAATGGGTAGCGTTCACGATAGTCACCACTGACATCATTACTCTGATTGAAATATGAGGTGGGCATGCTCCTGGAGAGTGCGCGCACCGGCACCAAGGGAAAAATTAGCGTCCATTTACGCTCTTAATATACTCATTTAATCCTAGATCAGCGGTTCCCAACCTTTACTTGCTCGCGACCCCAAAATGGACCTTATTTTTTTTTTCGCGACCCCATAGAGTGTACGTCGCGACCCCACGCGACACCAGCCCCCCACCCCCCCGAAAAAAACCCACCAATGATTATATTGATTTAGGTAGAATTGAATGCTGTTCCTTTGATAGGTTTGTAGGTAATTTGTCGTTAACTCACACACATCAAATGGCCAGGGACAAGTTTTGTTCAGACTAGATGTGTCTTTGTGCACATCTATAAATCAAATACAAATTTGTTTCTGATGAAGGTGTGAGCAAAGACACATCTTACCTAGGTACAAAAATAATCCCTCCCCATTTAGAGTGCAGATGTTCGCATTTCTTAGAGAAATACTTATTTAATAATAATAAAGCAGAATGTAGGATATGTGTTTCGCTGCATACTCACTCACACCCCTCTGGGTTTCCCGTCTACCGTGCCCCCCACGGGCTCCTGCGGGTAAAGGGTCAACTAGGTATACCTGGGGTCGCGGCCTGGCTGTTGCTGGACCCCTTCCTGGGGAAACATGGAAAAACCACCAGCTGTGCGCCTTCCTCAACTCACTGGCTCAGAAGCGCAAAACAACCGATGGTTTTTCCATATTTTAGCACAGGAAGACACTTTCGGTGAGGTCCAGTGGGAGCCTGGCCGCGACCCCACGCGACCCCCGGCCCCTCGCCGCGGCCCCAAAATTTCTTCTCGCGACCCCAAATGGGGTCGCGACCCCGAGGTTAGGAACCGCTGTCCTAGATTGATGCAGCGTGTAGTTTTCATGGAGTGACTACTTTCTTCCCCATACCCTTCCATTCACAGGACTGCCCCCTATAATTAGGGGGTCCATGGGTTGACACATGATCCGCAAGGACACGTCCTCTAGCCGCACCACGCTGGCGCTGCCGTGCCTCCTACACTCCTACATAGCGGCGCGTAAAAGGCAGTCGGGGCCAACGAAACGAAAATCGCGACGCGCAACGGTAAAGCGTTGTCCGATTGCGTCCATCTTTGCTGTCAGCTTCGTCACAGGGTCGAAATCTATCGTTTAAAGAGCTATCCTCCGCAATCGCAGAGTTTGAACCCCAAAATTGCCACGGATCCGTAACTTATTACTTAGGTAGCTTTAACGTTATATTAACCGTTAGGGTTACAAATTGAATCATTATTTACCGTTGTCCTTTGGCAATAAGTTAGTTATTTGACTATGTCTATTGCCGATCGATTTATATTGTTGATCGTTGATGTAACCATAAGAGTATAAGTACAACGATATTTTGTACGGTTATCCCTGGCCTACTATAGGTTGGTTCCTATAAGTTCCAATTGTTGAGGGTGTAGGTGGTGGATTTATTTAATCCCTCAATCTCCATTCAAACAATTTACCTCTGCACTACACAAGACTGTCACCTTACATATTACTAGCTTGTCTATTACTGTACCCTGGATGTAAACAATTTGAACAAAAATCGTTGCACGGGCACATTTTCAAGGAAGACCCAGGAGAGATACACGCTTAGTCGCATTGCTGAAGGAGGCGTAGCCTGCAGGGAAGCAAAGGTGGACAGCTAATCTGCGGGAGCCTGGCCTGGGTGCCACCCTGGCGCTAACTGATTGGATGCTCTCTTAGGAAGGCCACGGGCCCCAGGGCCTTTAATAAAAACACGGACCCATGCGTGTAAAGCAAAGAGTAGGGACATGCATTGCTTGCACTCGTTATTACACCAGGAGCATCATGATAAATAAATAAGTGACAAGGCCCACTACATCGAGTCCCACAGTCTCAAGGTCCCACGTTGCGGACCAACCCCAACCCTACATCAGGGTCTGTCCATATCAGAATGGCGACTGAAACTTTCAGCCGCCAGGATCGCTAGTGGCACTGGTCCCCTAGCGCGCCGCCGGCCGGGCGGAGCGTGTGTGAGCCTAAACTAAAATTGCATTCTTGGGTACTTAACTCAAACAAAGTACATCGACCATTACATCAAAATAAAGGTGAAAGTGTGAGGATTACAACGGTATAGGTCCTTATGTGATTGAAGGCCTTGTACTCGATCAGGGCCGTTTGGCAAAATGGGCTGTTTTCCGAAATCACAAGAGCTTTTTCAACCCGTATTTTCTCATGCAAGGAGACGAGCTATCAACCTACATAAAGCGAGCCGATTTTCCGCCTGACTTTAAACTTTTCATTCCTTTTTGCCACACTTTGATACGACTTCTGGTGTTCGAGAACGAAGCTCATATCTGCGCGCATGTCGGGCCAATTTTGAAAAATATGCCCCCAAAATACCTCATCTTCGAAATTTTGCGAAAATTTGGTGAAAGGAGTTCTTGGCATTGTAGAACAAGCTCCTAAATTGTTGTGCTTGCAGGTAGGCCTGGAGCGTGGATGCGGACAAGAGCCTGTTACAATGGTTGTAGAGGCCCGACAGACACGTTTCAAGTGCATTTTGAAGCGATTCTGCGAATATATTGGCCCACAGACCGAGAAGGGGTCAAAAACCAAGCGCAACAATTTAGAAGCTTGTTCTACAATGCCAAGAGCTCCTTTTACCAAATTTTCGCGATAATCGAAGATGAGGTATTTTGGGGGCATATTTTTCAAAATTGTTTTACCATTTGAGTGAAAACGAACGAACCGCACATTTTCGCCGCATACATAGAATTGTTTGTCCCTCCGAGCTCATTCCAACGGTAGAATCACAATTGTGATAGCTGTAAAGATGGCCGAGTTACATGCCGATGAGTTTTCCGATTTTGCTCAAAAAATGATAAATGTCAAAAACACGTTAAAGGCGATAACTTTTGAACGCGTTGAGCTACAGGCTCGAGACAATGTTTTATCTGAAACTAGACACTAACAAGGGAAGGTTTTTAGGTGTTACACACCAATTTCGCTGGGCGCGATACATTTTGCAGGGGACATATGTAGATTAAGATTGGCACCGGTTTTAGCTGCCATACTATGTTTTTCGTTGGTTTTGGACAATTTTTAGTAGGAAAATATCATAAAAGCACCAAAAATGTTATCTTCAAATGCCTATATCTCCGGAACCGTTTGAGTTACACCGTCCAGATTTTGCACAGAGGTAGTCCGCATAGATACTTCAATTGTCTCAAAATATGAAAAGAGTCGAAAAAAATTGTTGAAATGGTCCGAAATCCAAGTCGAAATCCAAGTACGGAAGGTGCACATAGTTTGTGACATTTTCTTCGATGTTTTTCGAAAAAAATTATACTTCACGATACTTTAGTTACCAATTCGGCCTACCTCTGTGCAAAATCTAGGCGGTGTAGCTAAAACGGTTCCGGAGATACAGCCATTTGAAGATCACATTTTTGCTGCTTTTATGATATTTTCTTACTAAAAATTGTCCAAAACAAACGAAATACACAGTATGGGCAGCTAAAACCGGTGCCAATCTTAATCTACATATGTCCCCTACAATATGTATCGCGCCCAGCGAAATTGGTGTGTAACACCTAAAAACCTTCCCTTGTAAGTTACACGCGTTTAAAGCGATTTTTCTTCAAAGGCGGTTACGGGAACGTTGTAGAAGGCCTCGTGGCGCGCGGCGGCAGGTGGCCGAATCAGGGTGGCGGCGCGGTTACCAACTGTCTTACCAGCTTCGGCGAGTCGGAGGTGACTCAAATTTTGAGACGTCGTAGAGGGGACCTTCCTCGAAACGCCGAGGCCTCCCGCAACGCGGTAAGAACCCGCGTTTCGGAGAAAACTGGTATAATATTGGGCGCGATGGTGTCCAGCGAGTGTCTCGTTGCCTCTCCATTAAGCTCTTCTCTCATGAATCAACGCTATCCATCTTACCCCGTTCTTCCTTATAATACTTAATATTTTAATTGGGCCTTGACGACAATGTGGTCAGACTGGCTGGCCAGTGACCAAAATGTGGTCATTGTGGACCACTGTGAACGCTACCCACATTTACCCGCTCCTCATAATAATATTTTAATCCCTACATGACAACAGTGTGGTCATGCCAGCTGGTCACTACAATGTGGTCAATGTGGACCACGGTCAAAGCTACCCATCTTTTAGTTCCTTCCAATAATAAAAAATATTTTTATTAGTGCAATGATCACATTGTGGTCACCAGCCAGCCTGACCACATTGGGGTCATAAAGTTGTTGAAGGATGCCTGAAATCGTAAAATGGGAAAGAAACTGCCCCCTGCACCCCAAACTCTCCCCCCAAAAACCAACAAAAAACACCGTTTTCAAGCAGAAGGGTGGAATGTAGTCACGGTGCTTCACCGTTACACTCCTTTTTCATGTCTAAGAGGGAAATTATTGTAAAGTGCCGCAAGCCCCCCTGGAACCTTAAGTTTATAATACTAATGAAAAGTGACTTAAAGGTTAGACCGCAGACCCAACAAACGCCGCCGGAGGCTACGCAGGGCCGGCTCCTGCCAAACGGAGTTACCGGCGGAGCAAAGTGAAGCTGCCAATTTCGTTCGAAGGGCGGGCCCGAAGGGGTTATCAGAACAGAAAGTACGTGTGCACATATGTATATAAGTTGGAGTGAAAATGACAAAAAGTTGCCTGCATGTGACGGAAACGGAAGCAGAATGTAGGCAAAAGTGACTCACTGTACGTTGATCTGATTGAGAATGAATAAAATAGAATGTATTTAGGCAAAAAAGTTAATGAATCGTTATACAACTAGCTATATGTACGCAAGACCACGTCTCGCGTAACAGGCTTCGCGATATCTCACGAAACACCCATCCTTGTCGCACTCATGGGGCAGCTCCCCTTGAGCGCTCTTCGGAATCAGTCTGCTGGCGCACATATAGCTAGGCCTGGTGCGCTGAGACCCGCAGGCCTGCTTGTTTTATTATAAGAAAAACAATTATACTACTTCAGCCCTGTTCGACATCAGAGCGAACATTGTAAAATCCTTTACTCTTTGAAAAAAGTCAGAGAGAACGAATTCGGTCGTCTCCTGACGAAATACGGAAGGGTATTTTCAGATCGAAATTCATCCCCAGAGTTCCCTGGATATGTCCCTCAAAAAAGTAAAACGCGCCAAGGGCGAATATTCCCCTGAAATTATCCGGTAATAGGCAAAGTGCGAATGAA